CCCCAAAACCCCAAAACCCCAAAACCCCTCATTTTTGATCCAGAATTGAAAATTTCCGCTTAATAGTGACGTACAATTTACTAATATTAACCTATTTAAAAATTTGGCAAGAAAAATTATGTAAAATTAATATGTACCAATATAAACAACTATTAGTTGAGGAAGATGATTACAAGAGTGTAGGAATGAAGCTTTCATGGCATAATCTTACTTACACTGTTAAGACTAAAAGCAGAGTCTGTAAGAACTCCAACTCCAAAGAGAAATCCATACTCAAACTTCAAAGTGGCTCCATCTAACCAGGCCAAGCTTGATTCATCATGGGCTCATCTGGTGCTGGTAAAACCACTCTTCTTAATGCTCTCTGTGACCGCCTCACCAACTCGAAGTCTGCTAAGCTTCAGGGACAAGTCCTTATAAATGACACACACTCTGTTAGACAGAGCAGCTTCGGGAAATATGGAGCATATGTGATGCAAGACGACGTGTTGTTTCCGACACTGACTTGTGAAGAAGTTATTGCATTCTCAGCTAGACTCAAGCTTATATTGCTACCACATCAGATCTCTGCCAGAGTGGACACGATCATCGAAGACCTGGGCCTCAACAATTGTAGACATACTTTCATTGGAAACCAGCTTCTCAAGGGTTTGAGTGGCGGGGAGCGCAAACGCACAGCCATTAGCATTGAACTGGTGACAGACCCTCAGATTTTGTGACTAGACGAGCCTACTTCAGGCCTAGACAGCTTCACAGCTCATAAGATCGTTAAACTGCTGGTAAGCCAGGCAAAGCTAGGGAAGACTGTCGTAGCCACCATCCATCAACCAAGCTCCCAAACATTTGGGCTCTTTGACAAACTTATCCGACTCATGGATGGCCACCAGATATATCAGGGTGCTGCTAGTCAGTCTTTTGAGTACTTCGAATGAATTGGCTTTAGTGTTCCAAGCTATTCAAACCCAGCTGACTATTTTCTACAAAAATTCTACATGCCATTCAACAAATCAGAGGAGGACGTCCACACTCTGGAAATCTTAACGGAGGCTTATAAAAACAAGCTCTCGGATAAAGTAAGTTTAAAACAAAAGTCATTTCCAGCTTCTTAGTTGTTCATTTCAGAAGAATTTTATACCAATCCTAATATTTAGAACGGAATGACCAAACAGATCAGGGAGAGTGATATCGGTCTCGAAGAAGCAGATGTTAATAAGTTCAAAGAATACCACAGTTCTGTCTCATTTTGAAAAGAGCTGAGAGAAATACTTATAGAAACCCTACTCATCTCAAGCTCCGCTTTGTAGCCTCTGTCATGATCAGTGTTATCGTTTGATTTTCATCTGGAATCTTGGTTATGATGCCAAAGGAGTTAAAAATAAAATAGGCTTTACGTTCTTCATGAGTGTAGACCAGACCATGCAAGCTTTGTTTTCTGTTGCAATGAACTTTATCGATGAGGGACCTATTTTCTCGAGAGAATATGCCAGTAAGACCTATGGGATCTGGAGTTACTTCCTATCAAAGTCAGTTATTGAGGCGCCTTTCCAACTTTTATTTCCCTTTTTGGCATCTTTGATTGTGTATTTTGCAGCAGGATTGACTCCAGAGTTCGATAAATTAATGATCTTCTCATGTATCTTAGTTTCAGTTGTGTTCTTCGGTACATCTCTGGGCTTCGCAATAGGATGCTCAGTGACAGATCCAATGATGGTCACAACAATGGTCATATTCGTACTTGGCCCTATGCTTTTTTGAGGTGGATATCTTGTAAATCTACACCAGATTCCTGTCTATACGAAATGGATCAGCCATTTATCTCCAATAAGATATTGAGGTGAGGCTTTACTACGCAATGAATTTGTGGACAACCCAAGATATGTTCAAGATCCAACACTTTTCACTAATTTTGGATTTGAGCTAGGGCTTACTAAATGCATCTATATCCTTCTTGGACTAGGAGTAGCCTTTCGCGCAGTTGGCATCATAATGCTAAGACTTGCTGTTGTAAAGGTTCAATAATTTCTAATAGGCTAGGGGTTTTGGGGTTTTGGGGTTTTGGGGTTTTGGGGTTTTGGGG